GTCACGGGAAACGCAACAAAAGGCCATGATATGAAAGAAACGGCAAGGAATGCCTCAACTGCTTGATGACTTAACTACTTGAAGGGGACAGTAACAAAAGTCTGAAATGACTAAATGAGGCTGAATTTGAGAATTATAGCATTTAGACATAGGATACGTAAGTGAGAATGTGTGTTGCCATCACATGATCATGTTTACGGTTGCCTAATTGGGAGTTTCTAAAGTAAATTTTTAAAAGTAAATTCTAGAGTAAAATTTATAAGTAAAAATTGGGACAAAAATAAAGGGGGAAGTGCGAGGTTAGAAAAGCCATTCTTTCATGCATCAAAAATAACTGAATGAGTTAAAAGGGTTTGGTTTATTTTTTGGGTTTTTTTGTTTTTGTTTTTTTTTATTCACATGAGTACAGCCTAGGCAGGAGAAGATCATTCTGGCAATGTCAGGAATGAAAGAACAAACTGCATTCAATGCAAGAACAGCACATCATTTACAGTCACACAGGCTGTGCACTGCCCAACACTTGGGGTGCCATTTACATAGACTATGATGAGACTGTTATACACAGTATCACTTGCATAGCTCTACACAGTGGTTCTGGAGTATAGGAGATACTTTTTTTTTTCTCCCTTATGCCTCACAGATTCTGTTAAGACTAATCAAAGATCAAATAGAAAGATTAAGTATCCTCCTATAGTACCAATTCTTGTGAACATCCATTTCCTGGCATATAGCTTCTGAATTTAATAAATTCAACATGAAATGTTCTTTGCCCTAAAACACTTAACATTAAAAAAAATTATAAGTGAATCATATGAAAATATATGAACATAAAACTTAAATTACATCATGACTTTTTAGTCTTATCCTAGTCATTTTGCTTTTGTATAATTTTGAGGAGTTTATAGCTTTACTTGTGGTTAATTTTGAATGTCTATTTGACCTTTTAATGAAGAACCTTGATTATCAAGTCAATATTACATTTTGTTTTGTTTCTCTTTGGAGAAAACTAGTTTGAAAATATGAATTAGCTATAAGCACTGCATCATTTTCTTATTCTATTCAAAGAGTAAGACTGGACAGAGTCCTCCTAAGAATCCCATCTACAAGTAAATGCCACAGAGAGAAGTGTTCACAGAATATATTCAGAACTGGACCACTGCGTTTGGGAAACCAAGCCAGGGCCCCGATGAGAATCTAATGCCTGATGATCTGAGGTGGAGCTGAGGCAGTGATGCTAGCTCCGGGGAGCGGCTGCAAATACATATGAAGCTTCCTTCAATTTTTTTTTTGCAGCCTGCAGCCCAATTCCTAATAGGCCATGGACTGTACCAGTCCACGACCTGGTGAACCCCTGATATAGATGACATCTTAAAGTATTTTAAATTTACGATAAACTGCCTTGGTATTTTTCAATGTTTTACCTTCTCTACATTCTACCACTCCCAGGGCAATATGCTCTTTTTCTGGGGTTGCATAGCACCTTATGCCTCATTTTTGGAATTGTCGCTCTCCTTTCTCCTGTGGGCAGACACCCAAATTGGTAACTGCTGAATGAATATTGAATGAATGTTCTAGCAAGAACCCAAGCAGATTAAGTTTGGAAACACTTTTAAAGAGTATCTAATCCAACTCTCCATCCGAGGCTCTGTAAATAAGGCAGTATCTAGTTACTTTCCACCTCCTTGCCCCTACCATAACACCTAAGCAGACAATGCCAAACCATATTAGAGATGAGAGAGAAGCCTTGGATGTTACAGATGAGGAATCTGAGATCTAGGGAGGTGACATTAACTTACACATTTTCATCTGGCAACAAAAAGAAAAGCTGAATCTAGAACTCAAGTTTATTTTTTGTATTCTATGTCATTTTATTTCACTGCAATGGAATCAGTTGACATTCACCAGGCCTCATAAAATTTTACCATCCAGTAATAATAGAGTGAGTCCAGTGTATTTCTGTTGGATTATGAAGTGGTAATGCTGACTGTTGTTTAGTAAATAAGAACTTAATGATTTAGCATATATAGCTTGCAAGAGAGACTCTGGCTAACTGTTAATATGCTGTGTTCTGCATGACTAATGGGCTGGCTTAGTCTATGTTTACAAAGTCAAAGACAGGCTACAAGGTAAGCCTTGCACCACTGCCTGAAATTCAGGAAAGAATCAGAATGTACAGTAGCTAGTGCCAAGTTCCACTTCCCTCAATGAGAGAATTCAAGTCAAAGAAACCTTTTGTGATTTTAATTAAAAGAATCTGAATGTCTCCCCTACTTGCAGATCTCTTTTGAATTCTATTATGAATTGAAAATATTATATGAGAAATACACACTCATAAGAAAGAACCAATGTAATTTCATCTGAAATAAAATGTCTAATTTTGATGACCATATCATTAAAAATACATGAGAACGTTAGAGGATTTAAACAGATTAGAGGGCCAGATTAGAAGGAAAATTTTATTTTAATTATTCACATATCATATTACACTTTAATTCTGTAACTAATATACTAAAAAGAATGTTATTTTATGATATTTAAATGACTATATACGATATTATTAATTTGACTCTATGTATCTTTAAATTGGCATTTATAGAAATAAAACAGAATTTGGTCATTTGTATCATTTTCTTGAAAAGTGCCAAATGAGTTTGTTCATATTATATTATATAATCAGGATTCTACCTAAACATTTACTGTAACACTAACTTAAAAAAGATAGTAAAATAATGAATCTCTTAGTTGTTATTTTCTTCCCGAGGAAGAGGAAAATAAGTAAAGTGGCCCAGTGTCATTTAAAGAGAAAATGGAGAGAAGAACCAATTTGTGGATCTGATGCTATTATTGAACAGGCTACATTGTTCTAAAATCTCAGAAACACACAAATAGATGTTTGAATAGATAAGAAAGATACAAATCATTACTAATAATGTTTAATCTGAAAAGAAGTGACTATATGAACATAAAAGGGAGATTATGATCCCTAGAGTAAATGTGTTAGATTTGGTTTCTCGAGTTCAGTGGTTGCAAAGGTACAGGGGCTCCAAAACATGGTTCTCTAATCCCCTTCATTATACCTAGGAGTCAAATATGTTGCTGGTTTTAAAACTTCAATTTTTAATGGATCATCTGTATTCCAAATGATATTATGATTATTGGAAAATTTATGGCATTATAATCTACCTTTATATGACTTGAATATTTACCACTCTAGAAGTAGCAATTTCAAAACAATAGTTTTTTGTTTGTTTGTTTTAATCCTCTAATATTTTAGCCACAATCCTGCTAGGTTTAGTGCAACCAGGCCTGAACTTATCACGAGAAGAGTTACAATTATACAACCCTCAGTATTGAAGGTAGAGGAAGACACAAACAAAAAACAAAGTTAAATATGTTATTTTATTTTTTGTCTTATCTTAAAAGGTATGCATAGAGGTGATAGACACATATGATATTTTTGCTGAAGCTTAGCCAACTATGAATACATTTTTTAAAAATTTACCTAATGCCCTTTCATCAGCTGTCCACAATGTTGTCTACTGTTCTTCACCTTTCTTTTGTCTGTGTGATACCATATTTCCTTAGATCTCCTCCTGCTTCTCTGAATGTACTACTTCCTTCGTCTCCTTTGACGGATAATCCTCCTAAGCCTGAGCAATATGTTATTGATACTCAGGCTCAGTCCTACTCCCCATCCTCCATTTTCTCATTCCATCCTGTCTCTATCTGACCATTATTACTGACGTGTATCAGTTCAATCATCATCAACATCATCTACATATCAGTTATGCTTCTACTCAAAGCTCTGAATCATATAGGCAAATATAGATATCTATTAGAGGGCTTTAATAGCATGTCTCAAAGATATTTCAAACTAAATATATCTAAAACAAATTTCAATATTCATAGTATTCCCACTGCAAATTTTACCTTCATTCAACCTTTTCCAATATCTCTATTACCTTTACCATTTGTGCAAGTCAGAAAATTATGTTTTACCTGAACACTATTTGTATCACTCCTCAATCCACTAACGAACCCTTTTTATTATACTTCCTAAATATCTCTCAACTCATTCTACTTCTATATCTTCATCAATACCATTCTAATCCTAGCTACCATGATTTTTTCTTGGATCACAGTAATCATCTCTTAACTGATCTCCCCATAGCTAATTGAGCCCCACTTCAAATCAATCTTCATACTTCAGTAAGAATAATCATTTGAAAATTCAATCCTCTTCATGTAATTGTTTTTGATAAAACACTTTAATAAATTTCCACTGTTCTTATCAAATCTTTTTCATGGCTTAAAAGGCCCTTCTTTTTCTAGTGTTTATATAATTCTTCCCTTCACCAAACTCATAATTCTTTACTCAATTACTGATTCATAATCTACTTTACACTTCAAATATATCAGTGCATTCAAAATTTTAAGATAGCATAAAGAAACATTTTCTTTTACAAATATTATACCCTGAAAGTATGCTCTGAAAACACTGCAGTTTTCAGGAGAATGTGTTTTAAGAAACTATATTCATCCAGATCACAGTGTTTAATTTTTGCCTTCTATAACGGGGTCCATAAAAAGACCTATCTATGAAAACAAAGCCAAATTACTTCCAGGACTATTCAACTAATTTGAAAGGAACCAACAAGTTTGGACTAGCACGTTAAAAAGCACAACTGTAGATTACATTAGAAACAACTTATTTCCTTACACAAGTTTTGATTAAGTCATTTTACTTTTCCTTGATAGACTAATCAAGAAATAATGATGGAAAGCTTGGTCCTTCAAAATTCCAATCTATTTCATATATCAGTATCTGGAGCTTCAAAAATATCCCTTAGCTCTGACAGCTGCCACTTATAATTTTCCTGTTAACTGTAAGTTCTTTTAAATATTTAAACCTTTAAAGGCTCATATATAGCTGTTCTGTGATGCCCAGCCTGCCTCCAGCAACAACATCAAGGCTAGGTTAATAGAAACTATCTACTTACCATATTGTAGGTGGCTCAGAACCTTCTATTTCTAAGTAATCATACTTTTCTTCCATTTGGAAATCAGTAAATATGAGAGAAATTGTGTCTCCAGGCTCTGCTACAATGGTCCAAGTGCAATCAGCATTGTTATGGTACTCATTAGGAAAACTAGGGCTTGATATGATGCCACTGGATCCTCTCATTGTTCCTCCACATGCATCTTCAGCTGTTAAAAAAAAGACAGATGAGATGTTCAGTTATGTCGTTAAGAGAAATGCAATTCTGTTAATATTTTTTTAAAAGAAATAGTCTAAATGTTGTGATATCTATGCATCTTATCAAAAAGACATTAAATAAAATGAGAAGTCTATGAAAAATTTTAAATATATATATAAACTATATCTTGACAATTTTAAAACCATTGATTAACAATGAAAGTAAGTAAAAATTTACACTCCAATTAGATCTCAAACTACTAGAACCAAAGTTTTTTCACTGATTAGCTGATGAAGTGAGTAAAACAAAAGAAGCATCATTCTTAAGGGCTGTGGTAAAAATATTTAATCAATTTGTGAATGTTTACAGTAGAGCTAAGCTTTATATTTATTTTTTTAATGTAGGTAAGTACGAAATAAAGAAAAAATTAAAAGAGAATATAATATAGTTTTTTCTTTTTTTAATATAGTTTTTTTTCAATAGGATGTTTCAAAAGCTATTTAAAATAATATCATCACATGTCCAGGAAACTTTAATTAGAGAGAAATAATATAGTAACTAATATACCTTTGATAATATATTCGCTGTGACTTCATCAAACAATGTAAATATATCTTCTAGGTATTCATATGATATACATTATAAAGAAATTTTCTACAAACTTTATATTTGGCCCTGTGGTTTTCATTTTCAAACCATGGTCATAAATTCCCAATTCCCTACTTTTACCAATAATGTATGCTAACAAAGAAGTTACGTGACCAATTGTATTTAGTGTAAAAATAAAAGTTCTTTGTTTCATAAAGAAATCAAAGCAATAAAATTTGTCTTTTTATAAAAGTTTAGGCAAGTCAAGTTAAGAAATTGCTAGTTTACTCATGCAATAGATTGTCTCAAGATTTATGTTGTTGTTTTGAGCCACTCGGAATTCTTCCAATTCAAGTCAAACGTTTGAAGAAAACTCTGGCTCGATAATGACCAATTATTATTTCAAGTAATGGCTTACAATCCATAACTTTAATTAGAGATGGGCAGCATCCTATTTAATTCCACAATGAGCAGGAAACAGCAAAATATTTTGGTGCTTAGGATAATTTTATTACTATATTGTATGAATCAAGTAACATTAACTCCTTTTGCTCCATTCTTTATCTATTTAACTCCATGATTCATAAATTGAAAGCATAAATATATTACTCTTAAAAGATTTTTTACTTTCATCATAGACTAAATAAACATGAAAAATATTTATTTTCTTTCTATGACCTCCCTATTTTTTTAAGTTTGTTGAGTAACTGCAATGAACTAGCGGTCTTGTCTAGGCTGTGAGACATATTACTATAATCTTCTGGCCAGAATACACAACGCCTTCCCTCAATACCTTAACTTCAGCCTCTGGTAAACATGTCTTGCTGTCTCCATCCCCAACCACTAATTACTTCTACTGCTTTTCTTCTCAGTACCAACACCGAGGTTGAGTACTGCTTTGGAAATAGAATGTCACAATATATATTCGTAATGTTACTGGCACACAACTATTCAAACCAGCTCTGTGAGCTCTTTATTTCCCTCTCTCTAGATAAAATCTCAGGTAGACACATGACATTTCAGCTCATACTCAGATTAAAGAAAAAAATTCTCCATCTTTTAATTCAAAAATCTCAAGCCATCAATTAATACATTCAGTCCTGGGAAAACACACACACACACACACACACACACACACACACACACACACACACACACACTCACTTCATTTGAGTTAAGGTTCTTTGCTCCCCCTAGCTTGGACTTATGGCAGATGGGGCAGAGGTGAGGCAGAGGAGTGGGTTCTTCTTCTGTTTTCCTTCCTAGTAGTTTTGTCCATCTAGCCCTACCCAATGAACTTTCTGTGACTCCTTCTGAAGTTGGAAGTAGGAAGGACCATGAGATATGAATCCTTTCATATGTCTGGCACTGATTTAGTGCCTATTGCCAAGGGCTCTGACAGTTGATTTTTTTTTTTTTTTTAAAAAAAGGTGATTCTTTTGCTCATGAGCCTTTTCATGAGATCCTCATAGGTATCTCAATCAGTGCCCTTCTTGTACGTGAATGTGTCTCTGGCTGGCTGCTTACACTTTTCCCTCATACCACAGGTATAGAAATGGTGTATTTCCACCCTCTTTTCAACTATGTCTTCTTATCCTTCCAGGGGGGCCTCCCGGGCAGGACCTACAACAATTCCAGGCCAGAAATCTCTCACAAAAGTCCTGAATCTGATCAAATGAAAACATACTCCATGTAGTCATCCTCTGTAGAAATGCAATTTATTTCCTTATGCAGCCCTATAGGTTGGCAATAGACATTTAACCATTTCAACCAATGTTTTAATAATAATATACTGTGTACTTCAAGCTCCAGGACATACAAATAAATTTTTCTGCACAGTCCCCTTGAAGTTCCTCAATCTAGGCTTAGAGAAGAGAAAAATCATCCCAAACTCCTGACAAATGAAACAAGGAGGAACACATAGAATACCTCACTCCAGGGAAATTCTTCTTCTACAGTAGCAAAATAACTTCAACCCAAAAAACTGATTGACTTGCACTTGAAAACAAGGATGAGAACTCAGACCTTCCATCATTCAAACCAATGTTTTTGCCAAGTCTTGTATCAAGTTCTCTGTTCAGCATCACTTTGATCTCATTATTACTACAGAGACTAACAATGAATCCTTATCTGACAGAATTATGAACTAATTAAAGATTGCTTTTAGTACATGTTAGACGTATAATATTTTGTCTAGAACCTTTGTATTGGATTTGGCCTGGATATAATACAATGTTTATATGTCTTTGTCCTGGACATGGAAGCAACTGAAGTGTCCTATAATAGACGATTGGATAAAGAAGCTGTGGTACATATATACAATGGAATATTACTCGGCTATAAAAAAGGATGAAATCTTACCATTTGCAACAACATGGATGGACCTAGAGGGTAAGCTAAGTGAAATAAGTTAGAGAAAGACAAATACCATATGATCTCATTTATATGCGGAATCTAAAGAACATAATAAACGAACAAACAAATCAGAAACAAATTCATAGATTCAGAGAACTGATGATTGCCAGATGGGAGGGGGCTGGAGGACTGGGTGAAAAAGATGAAGGGATTAAGAGGTAGAAATTAGTAGTCATAAAATAGTCTCGAGAATGTTAAGTACAGCATAGGGAATACAGTCAATAATATGGTAATAACTATGTATAGTACCAAGTGAGTAATAGAATAATTGGGCAGATCGCTTTGTATATTATATAAATGTCTAACCACTACATTGTACATGTGAAACTAATATAAAATAATATTGAATGTCAACTCTAATTGAAAAAAAAATTAAAGGCTTATTATAAAGCTACACCGATAAAAACAATAAGAAATTAAAAGTAAATATAGATAAGTCAAACAGTGGAACAAAATAAAGACTTCAGACACACATGTGCACACACATACACACACAACTAAACACTTGATTTTTTGACAAAACAGCACTGTAGAGCAGTGGGAAGAGAACCATTTTATTAAATGTGCTGGGTCAATTGGATATCCACGTGTACACAATAGTCGATTCCAGATGAACTTTGGATCTGAATATATAAGGTGAATTAATATAGGTTCTGAAACTTAACATAAGACATCTTTACATCCTTAAGATTAATAAAGTTTTCTTAAATAGGTAAACTAATAGATACAAGGCACAGAGTGGAAGATATTTCTAATATATATAACTGATGAGGGCTCAGTCAAAATATATAAATAACACCTACAAATAATTAAAGATAAGGGAAACAAGTTAATAGAAAAATGGAGAGAAGACTAAACAGACATCTTACAATAGAAGATGGACCAATTTTCAATGGACATATAAGAAAGGTACTCAATTCATTAGTCATCCAGGAAATTCAAATTAAAACCACAGTGATTCTCTACTACACATACACCAGGATGTTTAAAATGACAAGGATCGATACTATAAATGTTTAGCAAAGATATGAAACAACCAGAATTCCGATATAGTCCTGCTAACTCTGTAAATCAGTACAGCCACTTTGGAAAACTCATTAGAAGCTGCGTAATAAAGCTACCCACATCCTATAAATTAATGTTTCCGCTACTAGGTATCTTCCGAGATGTGCATCAAAAGATATTTGTAGGACTGTTCCCAGACCTATAATCTATAGTAACCAAATCTAAGAGTACCCATATGTTGATTAATGACATCATAAATAGTGACATAGTCCTACAATGTATCACCATCATTCAATGAAAAATAAACTATTACTATATGCAACAATATGATGAATCTCACAAAGAATATTACTAGTTTAACAGTAACAGTATGTAACATTCCATTTTACAAAAGTTGAAATAGGCAAAAAAATATCTGTGGTGCCAAAAATCAGAGGGGTGCTGACATTCAGGGAAGGGCAGGATAGTGACTGGAAGAGAGTATCTGAGAGATTTCTGACTTTCTGGTAATAATCTGTTCTGTTCTTAATATGGGTGCTAGTAACAGGCAATGTTCATTTTGTGAAAATCTGTCAAACTATACCCTTATAAGTTTGAGTTTTCTGTATATATATTATATTTTTAATAAAAACATTATGAAATAAAAGGGAGGATACCTCAAAAGTATACATTCTTCTTCTAAGTCAGCAAATATATTCTGAAATGTTCCCTGGATCTCCAAGAAACTGGCCATGTCCGGCCCTTCTTTTCCTAAATTCCCTGAGATAGTGATTAGAAACAGCATGACACTCAGTTCTGGCTGTTTTATAAAACCCTAAAACCCTTGTCTTGGTTTACACCTCATTTTTAACTTTCTGTTGCTCTCCCTGAGTCTCCCCTCCGCCTGGTGCTTTTTACTTTCAGATGGCAAACTTTAATGCTACTTCATTCTAAAAAGTGAGAATGTTCAGGTTCTGATTTCTCTCAAAATTTTTTAAGTTCCATCACTTTTATTTCAACATA